CGTGGCCGGGGCTGAGAAAAAGCCGTTAGCTCCAGGAGGCGAAAGCCGCCGGGGCTCGGTGTGAAACGCTCTGGGGCTGTGCGGTGTGCGGAGCCACGAAGGACACGCTGGCCGCGTGCTGCTGCCTCGCGTCCTACGCCACAGCTGGGCAGGAGCCAGAGAGGAAGGGGGTCTGGACCAGGCTGCCTGCGAGACCAGCTCGGCAGATGTCTGGCTGTCGCAGGGAAGGAGCCACGTGGATTAGTACCTGCTGCGGCTCATTAACCAGCCCGGCTGTGTCTTTAAGCGTGTCCAGGCGAGCTGCCAGGATGGGAGGGTTTGGGCCCTAGCTGACATCACCTCCTGGCTGGCTGCACGGGGCAGGAAGAGCAGTTGTTTACAGGTTAGTTAACTTGCCTTAAACTGCAAAAAAAGTAATTGCCTCCCCTGCCCCTTGCAAGCTGGGAGGCTGGAGGGTGCAGGGGCCCACCGGCAGCTCCGGGCTGGAGGAGCGGGGAGTGCTCAGCAGCTCCCGGCAGCCTTTGCCGGGGCTCCTGGCCACGCCAGCCACGGCAGGTACTGGCTTTGCCAGCTCCTTGGCCTCGGCGGGGCAGAGGGCAGCGCTGGCAGGAGCGCCCTCGGGGGGTGGAGGGGGCTCCCTCCCGTGGGATCCTGCCCCATGCTTGCTGCTCCCTGGCCTGAGCTGCGGTCTTTGGGAGAGGCAGGGAGAAGCAAGACCCTGTCTTTGAGGCGGTGTTTTGTCTCCTGTCGCAGCCCGCAGCTGCGAGCGTTACCCAGAGCAGGCTGCCGGCCTGCGAGCTCTTGCGTAGGGTAGCTGTGGCTGCGGACCCAGCACCGCTCTCATCCCAGGTCTCACCGCTGCGGCGTGTTTAGCCAGGCTCCATGCGCACGTCATGAGTTCCTCTGCGAGCAGGGCTGCTCCTGGAGTCCCTCTGATCGGAGCAAGGATGTTGTGTTTAGGATCCCTGAGCCCTTGGCTGCTTGGGGTATCCCGCGGTGCTTGCTGGAGGAAAGCTGAGGCTGGGCAATGCTGAAGGCAAAGCGGGTTACCTGGGCTTTACTGTGGCCTGCTTGGCTCTGCTTCTTGTCTGTGGTAGCCTGTAGGACCTGAGCCTGGTGAAAAACCATCCTTCTCTGTGTTAGTACATCTCTTCTTGGTTTGACAAGGTATAGCCTCAAGCCAAAGAGTGCATCTGCAAGCAGTGTCACCTCCCACCACTGCCAGCATCCTGGTCCCATGAGGTAAAGGACAAGTGCTGAACAGGGCTGGTACCCCGAGTCAGGTTGTATGGGGCCACCCAGGCTGGTGGGGAGAGCAGGGTGAGAGTGTCGATTTCCCCCCCGGGTAGGTTTTCCTGGCTTGCCCAGCTCTAGAGCTGCTCACACAGGCTTAGTGAGCTGGAAATTCCCTGCCGCTCCACATGCAAGGAGAACGGCAGGACCTGAGCCTC